AATGTGGAAGGAGAAAACCATGAACGAGCTGTTGATCTTTTAAAAGCAGCAAAAGGTAAATGTTATAGTCAAATCAATAATAGTATAGTGTGGTTTCCAAGCAGTTAATTAGAGATACGTTTTTGTTTTTTTTTTTAATTTCCAGTTTACTGTTAATACAACAAAGGCTGCAACCAAAAGTAAAAAAAAAATACAATTTTAAATTCATCTTTATTAAATAGTATGCAGATGAGTCTTGACATTCTGATTTTCAATTCACATTTACATTAAAATGGTAGTTTAGAGATTTTTCCTTTAATAGAATCAACTTTGTTTTGGACAGATACAGTAAAAGGATGAGACTTTGCTGAATGACAAGTCAGGCGCGAATGAGTTTTAGTTGATGGAACTAGAGATGATAGCTCCTTTGAGCAGCGACCATGATTGTAGAAAAGGAAATAGATGCAACTTTATGACATTGGGAGAGAGGTTCAAGCATGGTAGATGAATAAAAGTAGAGAATGGAATCAGGCTTAAGATAATGGCGAGCACAATTAGAAAACCTTAGGTAACTTTGCAATAGGTTGTATTTATGATTTCCATAAAAAGTAATGAACAATAATCCAAAAGATGTAAAGAAGTGAACTTAATGAGAGAAATAAAACAGGACTATGGATAGAACCTTGAGGTACCTTGGCAGTTACTGGAAATAAAGAAGAGTGTTGGCCTTTAAGGATGACTTTGATAAAGCGATTAGAGAGAAATGATTAAACAATCTGAAAAACTTTTCCAGATACACCATAGTAGCAAGCTTATGAAGAGGATGCCAAACTTTATTGAAAGCTTTAGATATGTCAAGAGCAAGTTTTGCTGCCACAATGCGCAATTCTTTCTATCACAGTAGTTAGCAAGTCAGCCAAAGAACAAGAAGATTTTAAACCATATTGATTTTCTGACAGTAAATTGTTTGACTCAAGATAGGTTGTGAGAAATTTGTTGATCTAAGACTCAAAGACCTTGCTAATAATTGAGAGAAGACTGATCGGACAATTGTTAGACAGGTCAGAATGTTCTCCAGAGTTTTTAAAAATTAGAACTACATATGCCATTTTCTAACTGACAGGAAAACAAAATTCAGTCAAGCACTTATTAAATAATTTAGAGAGAATTGAAGAGAGAGTTCTGGAGAATACTTTTGTAAGACAATGGCAAGAATTTTGTCTGGACCACAAACTGTAGAAGAGTTTAATTGAGGTATGACTTCAACAACAGAAACTGAAGTGATTTGAATGTCTAAAAATGGGTTAACCTATTTAACTGAAATGGCAGGAAGAGCATGGCCATAAAATTCAAGAGTCTAATTAGAAGATAATAGAAGTAGGTCTTTGCAAATATTTCTGCCTTATTCTTGTGAGAGCTAATAAGATCAGTCTCATGAATCAGAAATAGAATGTCAGATTTACCTTTGTCAGACTTCTCTACCTGGATCCAGGAGGTTATGTAGGAGGCGCATTTATTAGCAGAAAGAGAAAAAATCATTAGCCCAAGGACCATCAAAAAGAAAATCTCGAAAAGAATCCCAGCCAACTTTAGTAGTATTAATTTGTGTGATAATAGAGTTAGTCTGAAGAAGAAGTACGAGAATAAAGATTTATAGAGATCATTGTGTGGTCTGTACCATTCAAAAGAGAACAAGGAAAAACTGAACTTGTTCAGTTTCAACATGTAACTAGGGTCAAAGACAAGACACAAATCAAGGAGTGAAGGTAAGTGAATACGTTTGTTTAGAAAACAAGTCACTAAGTTAATTATCTGAGTAAGAGATTGAGAAATGCAGAATTTATGGGTTTTAGTACCAGCACGATCAGTGGTGATGTCCAGCCATTCAGTGTGATGAGCATTGAAGTCACCAATAACAACAATATTGGCAGTGGGATAAAGAGAAAGAGAATGGTCATTTTGATCAGAAATAATATGAGTGAAATAAATATGAGTGAAATAATGAAAAGTGCAGTCTTGAGAAGAAGTAAAGAACAAAGAAAAAAGTGATAAAAAGGTGCTAAGCTTACGGTATTTTGGTAATATAGTGCTAAGGTGCTAAGTGTAAGCACATAAAAGAATAATCATAGGACTCAAAGTTGGTTTCATGACAAATAAATGAATTAATGCTTAAGTATACCCCCTATTCAAGCATGTAGCTAAGGAGTATATTTACCTAGCCAAACATGTAGCTAAGGGGTATTCTTATACCCTATTAGAGTCTTTGCAAATCAAACGATAGTAATCATCAATACTGAGATCTGAAGAAGGAACAGCCAAATTTAAATTAGTCTCACAAGAGCAAGTTAGTCTTGTAAACTTTGTAAAAGGTAAGATTCAGCTGATGGAAAGTTACTTCGTTTAGGAATCTAATTCTAGTTACGAAACATTTAGGTGGTGGGGATTGCTTTTTATGTTTAATATTTTTGGTTACTTTAGGCATGGTTTAAGTTAAGAGAGAACTTTACTCATTCATAGATAGAACATGTCATTTCAAGCAATGAGCTATGCAGTTATCTCTGTCTTGCTAATTGACCCAAAGTTGTAACTTAGGGCTCTTTATGTTGCCTTGACAATGCACACCAAAAAAATTAACAGGGACACTATCTAAGCACAATGGCATTTTAATACTGCAATATTTAACAACTGGCCTCAGAATTGATAAACTGAGTTTTTGAGCTTTACCCTCATTAGGGGATAGCAGAAAGAGTTGAATATCAAGGAGGCACAAGTGAAAATCTTGTAGATTTCACAAGTGATATTGAGTAGAGTCAGAAAGATCCAGCATTAATCATCCTAGAAATTCAATAAGATAGTAGCTGGATGCAGTTAACATCTGTTTAAAATGAGTATTTTTATTAAGACACTATCTCCTGCCTTTACTCAACCAAGAGCACCAAGGTAGGGGAATTTTAAGTCAGAGTTTATTTCTCCTAGCCTTTGTCTAAAAAAGCAAACCCTTTAAGGCAGCAGAGCATAAGTCAGGTAGTACTAAGTTACATGATACCTCAAGCAGAATGATCGTGATGAGACTGACCTGACCTGGATTTTTTTTTTAATATTTTTTTTTTTTAATTTTTTTATCCATTTATTTAACCATAAAATTAAAATGACAAATTTAATTATAATTAACAAAGTTAGGTTCGGTGTCACTCATAGTTAAAAACTAGTCAATAGAGTGACACCTTAATAAAATAAACAAATAAAATAAAAAGTATTAAAACAAGGAAATAATAAAGTAAACTGCATTAATTCAAGTAATAAAAAAAGAAGTAATAGGAATAATAGTATTAAAAGAATCAGAACAAAAATACAAAGGAGTAAGGCTCAGAAAAATGAAAAAAAAAAAGAATGAATGGATGAGATAAGATGAGTGGGAAAAAAAGTTGGAGAAAACAAAAAAAATATATATATATATATATATATATATTATATATATACATTCAGTACACAATATTAAAGCCTATATTACGCATTACATAGATTAGTCAAACAAAAGCAAATATTTAGATATAAAAAAAGCAACAACAACTAAATTGACAGAAAAAAATGCAAAAAAATAAATACATTCAACATTTTTTGTATACATAAATACGCAACATATAAACAATATACAAAATTTATTAAAATTGTTCTTTTTTTTTTCTTTCCATGAATATTGGTGGTAGGAAAAATTTTAGTTTCTTTTTAATTATTTCATTTTTCAAAGACTTTTCTTTTACCATATTTTTTTATTTTTTTTTCTTGTTTTTATTTTTATTTATTTAAATCCTTTATTCTTGTTTATACGCTTATTTTTAAAATTTTTATTACTAAATTTTTTTTTTTTTTTTCATAAAACTTTTTTTTAATTTTCATTGTTAAGCAAACATTTGCGATGTCATTGCAAAGAGAATTAGTTAAAAGAAATTTCTTTTTGTAAGCCATACTTTAAAAGATTGATGGGAATAATTTGGAAAAGCATTAGGAAAAACATTACATCTAGCAGAATATTAGAGTGTATAGAGTGAATAGAGTTAAGGTGAGCGTAAGTTGAATGAACACAAACATACATATAATAACTTATGTGTGAATAAACATTGCGTCAGAGGTTCAGACAGATTACAAACATACATATAGTAACTTACAAGTGATTGATCACCACAAGAGAAGTTCAGACTGAACAAAAACATACAAATAGCAGCCTACGGGTGATTGAACACAGCACCAGAATAATAGAGCCTTCTTTAACCTTCTTTAGATTTAAAAGTTACTTTTCTAAAAAGTAATTAGTTTATTATTGTTCAAATTCTTCAAAAGTTCTCAATTGTTTAAAAAAAAAGTAAAAAAAAAAATCTAAAATTTTTTGCGACTTTAGATAGTTTAGTTTTTTTTATTATTATCGTTTATGTAGAAATTGTTTTTTATCATTTATGTAGAAATTATTTTTTATCATTTATGTAGAAATTATTTTTTATCATTTATGTAGAAATTGATTTTTATCATTTATGTAGGAATTATTTTTTATGTAGGAATTGTTAAACTGGTAGTAAAATACACACCAAGAGGTAATAAAGTAATTTATTAGTAATTATAGTTTGTGATTATAACAAGTGCTATTTATATTCTGCTATTATAGTATTTATTTAATATTTATATTCTGCTATTATAGTATTTATTTAATATTTATTTAATATAGTATTTGTTTATTTAATATTTTTTTAATAAATGAAAATGAATATTGCTGTTTAAGTTTTTTTTCCATTATTTGAGATGTCTTGATTTTTTTCCAGTAATTTAAAATTTGGTCAATTTTAAATTGCATTTACTCAAAAAAACTTAAATTCTAAAAAAATTTTGAAAATTATATGTACATATTTAATTTTTGTTTTAACAATAAACTTAGCTTTACAACATACAACATAGCAAGCTTTCTTAGAAAGCACATGCGATTGCGCACCTTGTTTGTCCACGCAAAAAGTAATTTTTTTAGATAACTTGACCATATTTTTTATATGGTAAGCATTTTAAAAATTTGCGGCAAAATAAAGCTATAAGAAACTAGAGAGAATAAAACAGCAATACTAAAAAAAAAAGAAACAAAGACTATACAAAATAGAAAATCTAAATAAAAAAAGATAAAAATTTGAAAATTAAAAAAAGAAAAATGTTTTTCAAAAGAATAATATACCTAAATATTAAACTATTTTTGTTTTCTTACTTTTAGGGCATTTGTTATTTTCCACATATTTGCAAGGCGAGGAAAAAAGCAGAAAAGAATATAACGAAAAAAAAAAAATTTTGTATACAATTTTTCTCAACTTTTTTTAGTCAATATATTAAGGAAATACTTAATCATTTGCGTTAAAAACTTTTTAAATTTCTTTTTCAAATGTTTTTGCTAAACTTTACTGTTTTTGTCAATGCACAAAAAAGCGAGAAGACTAATTGCTATTTATTTTAGAAATTTTTTTTTTTAAAAAAAAAAAAGTTTTTCATGTAAAGAAATAAAAAGAATAATATCATTAATACTCATACTTAAATATAAAATATTTGGTTGTTTTCAATACCTTCATTAAAATAGTCTGCACTTTTGTTGGATTATCCATATTGTGCATTTAAACCCGATAGTTTTTTTCCTGATGAACTATTGTTATTGACGACGCTTCAAAAGCTTGTGGGCTTGTGCATTGTTAATTTACAGAATTTTTTTAACAAAATTTTAATAGGAGTCTATTATATATTTAAAACTGTTTTTTAAAGTTTTTTCAAACAGAGCAATTGTTATGTTGATTATCTCTTGTAATTTGTATTAATGTTGGAAACAGACAATATAAAAGAAACAATATCAGACATGCATTAAATTTGGTAAATACATTTATAAAGAAACCATATTATTCTTTTATTTAAATTATTATGTCATTACAAAATTTATTAATCAAATAATATATTTTACAAATAAATAGCAATTAACTTTCTTATTTTCCTATTATATAAGTATTGAGAATAAACGTCAAAATATAAGAAAAACATTTTTAAAAGCAAAGTTAAAACAAATAAACTAAGGAAAAAAAATTAACAAAGTTTCATATAGTTCTAGCATACATAGCAAATTAGTTTCTTTATTATAAGGACTGATAAAAATCGGGAATAAATTGCATATCAAAACTTTAAATTGTTGTTAAATTGTTATAAAATGTAATATTTTTTCATTAACTTGTATACAATTCGGTACCTAAAAACAACAACGACTCGAAAAAAAAAAATACAAAAGTTTTATAATTTTTTTTTTTAATTACTAAATTTTCTAGTTTATTTTATTAAATTTGATATTTCTTTACAATTTTTTTTCCTTTTTTTTAAGATTGTTTTTTTTTTCTTAGTAGAGTTAGTTTAGCTTTTTGCCGCAAATTTTAGAAACGCTTCATAAGTTAAAAGGTGCAAACTGCCATGGTCAGTTTGTCCAAAATAATTATTTTAAACGTGGACAAACAAGGCATGGGACCGCACACGCTTCCCATGAAGACTTGAGTAAGTTAATTTATAAATTCTATCAAATACACAATTTAATTTTGTTTCACTTTTTTGTCACATAAGTAGCTTTTTTTGTAGCATTAATCCATAAATCTCAAAATTTTCAACACTATTTTTGTATTGAAAACATTTGTCTCTTTTCTTCAGTATTCACTATTGTCCAGTTCATTAAAAGCTTTGATGACTGGCTGCTTAGAACAGTTTGGCAGATAAGCATACTTTGGAACAACATTGACTTTTTTGGAATAGTAAATCAATGCCAGATCTGGTTAAAATATTTTTTTTTTTCTTTTTAAAGTATAAGATTGAGAAACAGAAATTACTTTTAAAATAAAAATTACTGACACATTAAAAAGAAAAACAATATTTTAATCAAATAATTATAAATAAATTACTGACACATTAAAAAGAAAAACAATATTTTAATCAAATAATTATAAATAAATTACTGACACATTAAAAAGAAAAACAATATTTTAATCAAATAATTATAAATAAATTACTGACACATTTAAAAAAAAAACAATAATAATATTTTAATCAAATAATTATAGTAGTTGTCAAACAACCTAAAAAAAAGAAATTCAAATTATAATTTGTTAAAATATCATTAAAGCATTTTAGAAATTAGAAACAAATCTTGGACATTCATGAAAAATATCAATCATTGAACTACAAAAAAGTCTCAAAAGCTACTAGAATTCTTATATCTACTGTTGGAAGGGTTATAAAATGATAAAAGAAGACATTATCAATCAAATGAGCTAAAGGATCAGGAAAATTTTTTTTTTTTTTTACAATAAATCAAAATAAGATTTGTTTTTTTTTTTGAAAGAAAGCTTTTCTAATAAAGAAAGAGCTGAAAAGTACAAAGTTTCTGATTTTTTAGTAAGGAAAGTGAAGGAATACTGCAATTACAAACTTGTGGACAAATATGGTAAAAAATTGTTATTATAGCTAGCAATTTGTAGTTACAGAGCTTTTGTGATGCCATCAACTTTGACATTAGGAATTTATATTGAAGAGTGCCTTCAAAAGTGACTTTTGCCACTCATTCTAACGCACATTACATCTTATTTCATTTGAAATAAGATGTAATGTGCGTAATTTTTAAAAGAAATATTTTGAAACTAAAAGTTTTATACTCTTTAATTTCTTCATTTTAAATAAGAAAGAAAGAATTTAATTCTCAAAAATCTTTAAAAAAGTTTTTTTTTTTTTTTTGTGAAAAACAGCTTTTTTTAAAAGATTTTTGAAAAGATTTTTTTTCTTGTTTTTTTTTTGTCTTGTTTTTTTCGGTCTCATTTTTTTCGGCTTTTTCATTCAAAAGTAGAATTTTTTGACTTAGATGTGAATATCATTGAATGTGTTTGTTAGAGTATTGTTATACTTATAAATACCTGGATGCATCAAGTTATCTTTTTTACTGTAAGTTTCATTGTCTTCTAAAATGCACAAATTTTTTTGTCACTAATTTAAGCACATTTTTAGCTTTTCCAATTGTCTTCATTTCTCCATCAAGTGCCTCTTTAAATGAAAGATCTACTGGAATGAAGTGCCTCTTTGAATGAAAGATCTACTGGATTTAAAATTTGAAGCTAAATCTTGTTGTGTGTTGGATTTGGATGAATCAGGTCAACCATTGATTTCGCCTGCTTTTTGTCATTAAATCTTATTTTTCCACCACTTTACTGTTTTCTGTTTATAGTTATCAAGCTACTTATAACTTTTTATGACAATTCCAACAGTTCATTTATGTACTTAGGTTATTGAAGTTATAGAATATGAGCACAATAGATTTTTTATAAAAGTTTTTCTATGTAAAATATGTCAATGTAAATTTTCAGACTTTTTATTCAACATTTCAAAAACTCAAAGTTATACAGATGTAAACAAAACTACTCGTTAAAACTACCCCAATTCCCCTATGCACTAAAGCTATTTATGTATGTATCATTAAGAAAAATCATTAGAATTGTTAAGTGGTTTTTAAGAAAACTAATTTAAAGTTGTCCAAATTGCCTATTATTACCTTATGAAAGGCTTTGAATAAAATTTCTTCGTCACTTTCTGCATGTCATTCTCTGTTTATAAAACCTTTTTAACATCTTAATTCTCTGACTCATAAGTCTCCGAAAAAGACTCTTGGTATAGTCTTCTTTTTAATATTTCTTGAATAATCTAGATACCCATAATCTTTTGAATGACAAGCACAGACCGCTGCTCCATGTTGTATAACTTGATATGATTAGTTAGGCTTTACAGTTTTCCGGCTTAAAGGTTTCCACAAAAACTTTGCAGGGAACTTCTACAGTGTTTTTTTACTTTTTCAATGGTGACATCTATTGTATTGTTTGCACATGATACTATCATACTGTTGATACCCTGTATACCACTTTTATGTCATTTGATTCAAAATATTTTTTTCAATAAACTGAATATGTTATCTATAACTTCCTTGTAAGAATGCATCAGTGCTGTTTTCAGACTGCCATCACCATGTTTACTGGGTGCCATACTATGCATTATTAAGTCCGCAATCCTATGTGGCACCTTTCTTAATCTTTTTTGTGGGATTCATATCTATACCCAATTCCTCATCTTCATGTTGATTAGCTAAAAAAAAAACAATTATAAATCAAAATGTGTTTTTTGCATTATACAAACGCATATTGTATACAACATGTTATATAGAGTGTTTGCTATTTCAAACTCCTTAGCATCATTTCTCATCTCAGCCAATCTGATCTCTGCCTTTCTGATGCAATCTATTGCTTCTTATGAATATCATTCTTTTGTAGACTTGTTAAATTCCTTCTCAATGCGTAAGACATTATAGAAAATATGTTGGGCACTATCTTGCTTGGGCACTATCTAGCTTGTATATTTGTCTACAAGCTTTTGTTCTTTAGATTTAATAATTTGTCATCTAGGAATGTGTCATGCAGTTAATAAAAAAGTGTGAATTGTTTATCCTTTTTTTTTCTTTTGCCAAACACGTCATTGTTGATGCTCTAGTTGCATTGGTATTTGACCATGAAACACCACTGCTACTAGTTTTCTTTTATCTAGCTGGCACCTCACCAGTATCTTTGATATATTCAAACAGTTGGTTGCAACACTCTTTCTGCATTCATACACTACAATTAAATCTTCCAGTACTTTATACTCATTGGTTTAACTAGAGACGTGAGCTCCAACTTTGAATTGTCTGTGACCTCAACTGCAATAATTGCATAATATGTGATATCTTTGAGTATTTTTGGTACATATATGGCATTAAGTAAAATAATTGTCTTTTGTTCCATGAATCTATTTGCTTTTAGTAGTTCTAGTCCTGGTATATACTGGCTTTTTTTTTTTGTTTAACTAATAGGCGTTTCCTTCTGTACTCCTGATTACAAAATCCTAAGGAGTCTGTCTAGTCATAGTGTATTTTTCCAACATTCTTAATTGCTAACGAGTTTTGTTCTTCGTAAATGAATATTAGTCTGCTGCAATTTTTTTGAAGAACTTATGGAACAAAACAAAGTTCGTTTTCGTCTGTTATACAGTAACCAGCTTCATGTTGGTCAACCATTTGCCAATGAAGCATCTTTTATTCTTTTTACTTTATCTATTCTGCATCTTGTGGGTTGTGCTATGTATTTCTACATCTTGTGGGTTGTGCTAATATTTTGGTTCAATTGCTTCTTGTAGATAACTCAGCACTAGACTAGATTATCCTTTATTTTCGATATTTATTTTATTGTTTATTTTCGTTGATTTAATAGTCATATATTTATTTTAGTTGATTTAATAGTCATTGTTGAAGCAAAGCAAAGAAGAAAGCAAGTTTCTTCTTGGACAGCTCTATCTAACAACCTCGCATAAAAAATTTAATAAATATATATAAGCATCTTTAATCTAAACTTAAATGTATTTTGACTTTATTATATGGTATATATTTAAAATAACATATTTGTAATATTGTGATTTATTTGTAATATTGTGTTTTAATAGGTGCGTTATATTTTGTGCCACAGTAGCATTTTTTTTAAGCATCATTTAATATCACTTTTAAATCAAAGTAATATTAAGTTATGCTTAAATTTTTTTTTTTTTAGTAAAAATTTAAAAGCTTTCTTTCTTTGAGCCACTTAAAGAAAATGCTATATTTCAATGTGACAGTTTTTTTGTTGTTGTTGTTGTTAAAGTAACATATTTAACCTTAATTCTTATTTCAATGAATCAAAAACCTATTTTTATTAAATGTACTTAAAAATAAATATTTGTATATATTTATAACACTTAATAATATATACAAATATTTATATAAAAATAAATGTTTCTAATAATTATATATCTTCTATGAATAG